TCCCAGCCTGTGGCCCCTCTGCCTCTGGGGTGGCAACCAGCCCGGCTCCCGTGGCCAGCGCAAGCGGTGCTCGGGTGGGAGCCCACCTCCTTCTTTGGGGACTGTAGTCACCGTCATGTACAAAATAAACCTTGGGATTGGAGCAAACATTCGAGTCTTGTTTTCGTTACGGATTAGTCATTTAGGCCCCCAAAAGTGGTTGCAGCGACTGCGGTGTGTTTAAGGGCTGGGAAACGCATCTGGTTTCTGTTGCGGCCCCTAAGGAGGGGACAGGACGTGACAGCTGCTCTGCAGCCACCGACAGCCCCGGCTGGCCCTGGGTGCCTGCGGGTGGGGGGGGCTCTGAATGTAGCCGGGTGACCTAAACACACAGCCGACGGTCTGACGGTAATGAAACCGCTCGCCGTTTTCCCCAAGTGACGGAGAGCAGGCTACAGGGCAAGTGACCAGCGGAACGGTGGCTTTTGAAAACGGGTGGCAGTGAGAAGGCATATCGGTGAGTCCACACAGCACAGATAATTAGAGTCTCCTGCCTGATGTTTTTTTATCAGAAATGTTCAGTCTTCATCCAGTGCTGCTCCACGTGCATCTTGGCAAGCCATTTTTCCCAGCATGGGGTGCAGCGCGTTGAAATGCGGGCCCTTCACTGGCCCCCCGGACAGGCTGCCCCGGTCCTCTGCACCCCAGGAGAGATGAGCTGGTCATTCTGACCGACGTGAGCACAAAACCCGCTCAGCCATCAGTCTTCGGAGCAGTGGTCTACATCGAGTCTCCTTCCCCTCTCCAGCGTGATTAATCCCCAGCGGCCGCCTCGGGCGCAGCGCTGCTGGGGGGTTGCTGCTGCCGGACTCCGAGAGCCAGCTTGCCCCCGAGTCACTTTGGCACTGGTGACCGGCTTAAATCCCCGGCACGCTTGGCTGAGCATTCTCCACCCCCTTGCAACTGCCTCCTATTCCAGGAAGGAGCGCACAAGCCTTTGCCTCACTTTTCACATAGCTTTCACCGGCTCCAATGTCATTGCCTAGGCGACCGGGACGCTACTTGATTGTAGTGCAGTAAATAACATAGATCCTCAATCCCAGGCCGCTCCTGTCCGCGGGAGACCTCCGGGGGAACTCGAAACGCTTGGGGAGCCACAGCAGGTAGGAGGAAAAAACGACAAAAGGAAACCCCTTGTTATTTGTGTGTGTGAGTTACTCAGCACGACCCTCCCTCCAGTGCTCGATAACGCAGCTGGAAGATGATTTGCGGCCGCTTTGCTTTGTAGGCTAGTTACACAATATTAAAACGTCTCGGAAAGTTTGCTCCCGAGTGCCTTAGATCCGGAGTTAAAGCACTTGCGGAGGGAAAACCGGCCAAGCCTGGAATGGGAAAAGCAGCGGTGGGGCTGGGGACCGGCGGGATGCTGGGGGTGGCCGCCCGCGGCCGCGTCCCTGCGCAGCGCTGATGCTCGGCTGCCAGGGAGGGAGGGAGAGTTGCCTGGTTTAGCCTCCTGCCCCATCACGAGCCGCCTGTTGATGATTCTACCCGTCAGAGAGGATTTCTGGCAAACCTGCCCGCTCCTTGGAAAGAAAATTGTTAATAAGCTGCTGGACCCCAAGGAGGGCACCTGAGATTCAAGTGTGCTGCAGGAAAGCTCCCTCGCTCTCGGTCGCTTTTACAAGCCGCGTTTTGCAGGTGCGAATTTAATAATCTGGGAGAAATGAGCAATAGCTCAGGGTAGCATTGGCACCTTGAGATTTGTCCGCATTTTGCAAACATTAACTTATTTGCTGCAGGCTGGATGAGCCTGATGGTTCTCGTTGTGCAGAGGAGGAGCGGGGAGAAGGTCCAGGGGCCGGTCACAAGCCGTCAGGTGAACAGCAGCAGCTTGGTGTGAGAGTTGGAAATGGCTCTCAGAAGCCTTTCTCTCTCAGGATGGGCCAAGAGTTTTGAGGGATTAGGAATAGCCCTGTTACACAAGTTTTGTGCAGCTATCTCCCTTTATGGTGGCTGCAAAACACTGTCACGTTTCATTCTGGGCTGTTAGTGACAGGGTAGGGATGAATATGTTATTGCTCAGTGAAATAGCAACAGACATTTCTAAGTGCCTAAAAGTGAGGCTTAAAGTTAATGGTGAGATCAAAGATGCTCCTTCCAGAGAGTGCAGAAACTCAGCTGCCAGGCACCACTCTCAGCCCCTTGTTACTCCCACGGTACCCTTCACCTTCCTTATATTGATGAAAGAAAGACGTTGAATTTATAATAATTCTAAGAATATATTCAGACTGTGGTTGAAACGCAAACCATGAAGCCCAGTTGAATACATGCGAGTTCATCTGCTCTCCTTCTCCAGAGAGTTGTTGTCCCTTCGCGGGATGGCTGTGGTGGACCTTGGTGTGTGCTTTTCGCTCTCCTTGTGTCGCTGGGGCTGGGGGAGAAGCAGCAGCTCCAGCTCAGCTGGGGCTGACCTGGCCTTTCGGGTACAGCCAAAATCACAACACTGGGGAAAACACTAAGGACACTGAGTGTTTCCACAGTAATCCTTTGGAAATCACTTCAGTGGCAATTCCTGGGGAAGGTACATGGTGAGAAGGAACCGGTCCCCGCAGCGACGCAGTCCCCTCCCGCAGCCCCGGGGGGTGGCAGTCCCCACCTCGGTGCTAAGCGGGCGGTGGGCTGAGCGGAGCCCCAGCGCAAGCGAAGGTGGTGGATTGCCTCTCGGCAGGCTTTCTCTCGGTATTCCTGGCCTTTTTTTTTTCCGTGTGCGTATTCCCTGCAATGCCCTGACCAGCAACAGAGGGAAGCAGCAATCCAGGGAAGGATGGAGCCGGCTTGGGAAGCAGGCGGAGAGCAGCTCTCCAGGTGCAAACGGGCAGATCACGCCAGCAGCCTTGGCCCTGCTTTGCACATTTCGGTCTTTCTTCCTCTCGAAGCCTGCAATAAGTGCGGTGTACGTCCTGCCGCAGGCTCCCCCAGCCGCCCCAGTGCCAGCTCTGTCCTGGACGGCCACACCACGCGTCCCCCATCACCTCCCTGCTGCGTCGAGGCAGAAGGGATGGAGGACCCCTTGCTGCACCGTTCCCTTGGCAAAGACATCTTCAGTTTAATAAGCAGGTCTGGGTTTCTGGAGGTGTTAAATCCTCCTGGAGGGGGTTTGGCTAGGGAACCCTTTCTGGCAGAATTCGGGGTGATACCGCAGGTCTGTCCTTCAGTGGTGGGAAGTGGGTGGCATCAGGGAGCTGACACAGTTATGGTAGAGGCGAAACAGCCTCCGAACAGCCCTGAGGGGGCTGGAAGCAGCGGAGGAGCTGAACCTGGGCTGTGCCTGATCTCAAGCTCTGCCACCGCTGGTGTGTTTAGCCCCAGGTTAGTCACCTCCCAGTGCCATTTACATAGCCTGCAGGCACTGGGAAGGTAATTACATCCAAGCCGTCTAGTAATGTTCCTCTAGCGATGCAGAATTAGTCTCTAAGGCTCTTCCTAGTTCACCTTTAATTAAGCTGTGCCACAGGACCTCCACTGCTTCCGATGGGGTGTTTTGTCCTTCTGCTGGACCTCACCATCGGAACACTTTCCTGACTTCCCTGGATGTGAGTGCCTCCACCCTTCATTGCACAATGGGACTCCAGATGGCACCTTGTTTTAGAGTCTATTACGCTGTCACCGGCACCACTGCCCACCTTGGGGAACACTGTTTGCAAAGTCTTTTGTGGTTCTTTATCATCTTGGATGCCCGGCTGTCATTCTTGCTGCGGAGATGCTTCCCCGGGCTGTGCAATGGCCCCTGCGGCAGGGATGTGCCTTAACAGCACCGACAGCCCAAGCTCCTCCGTGTACCACGGAGTTTAGAGCTCAAATGCGAGATGGTACTGGCCTGGCTTTGCAAGCGCCGGTTGTGCTTTGAAAGAGAAAGGGAACTTCCGAAACGCCCTTAAAATATTCAGATTTTTTTCCTTTCGAAAACGAGTGCAGCCACGTGGTTAGAGCTGGTGTCACCCATCATGACCACACAGCCGGGGCGGTGCGGAGGTGCTTTCTCTGCTGAAGGGAAAGGCCTGGCTCCTTCCAGAAGCTGCCGCTGCCCTGGGCCAGGGGAAGCAGCTTGGAAGCAGGGTAAGGCCACCAGCAGTCTCCTGTCTCAGCTCTAGGCTTTTCCTTTCCTCTGAGCCGTCCCGTAGGTCCTTTCATTTCTCTGCGTGTCACACGTGGGATGAGGAGGGATGGGAGGACACCAGGCTCTCGCCGCTAGCTGTTCTGTGATGGGACCCGCGGGGAAGGAGCCCTCCTCGGCGAGCGGTGGCAAACCCTCCTGGAAGAG